GCCTTCGACTGCTTCCTCCTGATGGCCAGAGAGCCCGTCCTCCAGCTCTACTGCTCGAGCTTGGCCGAACGGCAGTGAAGGCTCCCCCGCCAAGGCCACGGCGGCCAGCCCGGCCAGCGCGCTGCCGTCGCCCTCCCCTCGGGAGATACGTGGAGATAGAGAGCATGGCGAAGGCTGTGGAGAGTGGAGAGGTCAGAGGTGCTCTCGCTCCCACCGGCACCAACTGGACACCGAACATCGTTTTTATTTGCTACTTGCAGTGTTCGACGGACAAATGAAGGATGGGGAGGAGACGGGAGAGGGGCTGAGCAGGGTGCAACACGACAGGAGGATCCCAGAGTGCGGAGAGTCACGACGATCAAAGCGAGGGCGCAGATCCAGCGCAGATCGTTTTGCACGGCTGAACGATTGGACCACCCCTGGCCCGAAGAGGCCGCCCCACGAGGCGGGCATGGAGAAGCGCATCGACGGAACGTAGGTGTTCAACGTTTTCGAATCGCATAACATGGCAGCTCCGTGACAACCCTCAACCCACCTAAATGGGACTGCAGAAGCCCTTCGTCGTCGGCTGGTGGAGCTGCGAGTGCAGCGACCACTGCATTGAAGGGTCCTTGAGCGGTCGCGCGTGGAAGGCGAAGGTCCCCGCACCCCAACACCCAGGCCGCTCCGAGCAGGGCCAACGTGCACAGAATTGGCGGTTCCCACGGCTCGCGCCCACGTGGCGACGCAGTGTCTTCTGCGGTGTGCTCGCCATCACGGACATAAGCATATGACCATGCTCGTCGAGCGGCTGGCTGCACGTTAGCCCCGCCTTCGCCAGGCAAAAGTGAATCGCTATGTCGCTCGCGCCTTTGCCATTACCTGTGTGGTTGGGTGCATCACGCCACTGGTGGATGGGCTCGCATGCCGGCATACGTGGCTCGAGCCGCTGCAACCCGGCGGACGAGAAGAGATTGACGCCCGGACTACGCAAGCACGCGCACGCGCCAAAGAAGTGGGGCGCGGAGGCAGCGTGCGGCCGAAGGAATGCCCGCAGCTTGGGCATCACGATGTAGGAGTCGTCCTCGGCCAGCATTAGCCAGTCCATGCCTGTCATGTTGTGCCTGGCTGCGAACTGTATTGAGGCGCGCACGGGTAGCCAGACGTCGATCCGGCTGGTGTGGCTCTCGTGCGTGGCGGAGGCGCCAGCACAAGAGCTGTTGAGGCGGTGCACTGGCCGCCAAGAAGCGCCAAGCTGCACCCAGCTCACCCCGAGGACGATGCGGTCGCATCCAATGAGCCACGTGTGGAGAGCCACTGAGATGGGGCCGAGCAAAGGCCAGCGCGTCGGGACGACGCACAGCACGCTGACGTCGGCGAGCACGCTCCCGTAAGTGGCATTGCGCATGGATTCTGAGTTGCCGAGAAGACGTCGGCACTATCACTCTATCAGCCGAGGAAGGAACGTCCGCCCGCTACGAGTCTGAGCCTACCTTTACTAACTTACTAACGGCTAACCACCCCCCTTCTTCTTTTCAGTGTATGTGCTCTTATTTTTAAATAAATAAATAAATAAAAACGGACACCTCTACTAGGAGATGGGTAAAAAGGAACAGGTCCCCGCCCTTGCGATCTTTGTGCAGGGTTCTTTGTGGGTGTGGTCGGCGACTAGCCGGGGTCGTCCTCCCGATGGGGGACTAGCACTAGCCGTCTTCCACATGGTCCCTCGGGTCCGTGCTGCTCCTAATCTCTTCGTACATCCTCCTGCTGATCTCCGCAACGTCCTGCTCCCTCCCTCGTCTCGCCCTGCGCGTCTGCTCCGCCTCACCGTCTTCTGCCCTGCGTCGTCTGGTGACGGGTCCTCCATAGTCGGTCGAGGTCGCCGCCCTCCTCGTGCCTCTTCCCAACGTTCCCTCGGCGGCCGATGCCGTCCGCTCCGGCTCCCCAGTCCCCGGGTCTGCCCTGCTCTCGTCTGCGCTAGTTTCTGTTTCGTCATCACTGGCGTCTCTCCTCTTCCTTCTCCCCTTCTTGTATGCTTTGTACATCGCGTCGATACTCGATTCCCTTTCGCGTGAGCACCATCCTGAAGCCCGCCCAGCAGCTGAACCGCTCCCTAAGTCGAAGGAGCACATCGTCAGTCTCGCCCACTTCGCTCGCTGCCCACCGTCTCCGCTCCCTCCCGCTTGAGCCGCCGTTTTTTTTTTAGTTATAAGTTATATACTCTGTCTCTAGTTATGTGGATCGTCGATCGACACCGAGGACAAGACTCCGACACTACACTGCAGGCGGCTCCCACCGCCTCGGTCGCCCGTAGCCCTTTACGATCTCAAACCTGGCGACGCTAATTCGGAAGAGAGCAACCCCATCGGACGCGAGGAAGCGCCCCATGTTCGGATTCCGCTCCAGAAAGCGCGCCCTGCCCTCTTCCGGGCGGGCGGCAGCTGCCCGGCCGACGGCGGTGACGAGGACCCCGTCTCCGTGGTCCGCCAGCCTACCCGTGCGGTTGTCCCACAGCAGCGAGCAGCTGGGCCGCTCGAGCATCTGCTGCGCCTTGCGCGCCTGCAGTGGCGTGGCGACAAAGATCTCCCGCAGGCATGGCGACGTAGCGTACGCCATCAGGTATTGGCATGGAGCGAGGTCTGCATCGGTCGTCGCGAGGACACACTGCACCTGCGATGCAAGCAGTGCCTCCACTAGCTCAGCGGCAGGCGCCTCGTCGTCAGCCAAACTGTCCCTCGCGCCCGGCGTGCACTCGGGCTCGTGCGACGAGGCAGAGGGCCGTGCCAGGGCGACCAGCCGCTCCATACCCGACTCGAGCTGCGCGACTCGCCGTC